GCATTTCCACCTCATAAGTTTGAGCCTAAAAGTTCAGGAGACAAGACTAACGTAAATGAAACGGTGGTAAATAATACAAGATGGTATAAGATGTAAGTGTAACATTACATGGTATAGGCAACAGGTACTTGAATTGTTAGAATTTCCTGAAGAACCCAGCCATTGGCCTATGTTGCACCTGACCAGTCCTCCTAATATCTGTGAGAGAGTGGCACTCACCTGCTTGTCTGCCTTTAGGGGGTCGCTTAGGACCAGGAAAGAGGGCCTCTATTTTAGGATCAAAATAGTCAGGTTAGACTGTTGTGTGTACCAGTAGAATGTAAGTTCCTTGAGGTCAGGTGCCATTTTTTATCTTTTTCTTCTACGTATCCTTAGTATCTAACATACAGTAAATGCTTATTTAATAAAAAGTTGAATTTACCAAAATGAATTTAATTCTGTGGGCCTCTCTATATCAGACCTTGAGAAATGGATCCCCATCTTCCTACCCTGCCCATGTTCTTGGCTTGTTTGAGCTTCACATACTAACTCCTGCTTGTAAACGTGGATGATAGCTCTATTCTCAGAAGGCAAAACCTGTTTTTTTTTTTTGGTTCATCTTTAAATCCCAGAACAAAGCAAAATGCCCTACATGTAGTAGGTACTTAAGAAATTCTTAATGAAGTGAATTAAATTGAATTAAACCGAGTTTTCCTGTTTGGTATGTATTCTGGACACTGACCCCTGGTTTACCTGTTTGATTGCTCTTTGTTTCTCCTGGTTTGATTGGAGACTCCAGGAAATGACTTCAGTTTTGCCTTTTTGATTACTGGTACTTGCATGCTCTCTCTTTCTACACTAAATGGTTCTTCCCAGGTTGAAAATTCTTACTGGTAAGCTATTTTGTCTTCTTTGTCTTGACTGCCCCTGCTGGACTTTGTTGGGCTGCTGTCTGCACCTTGGTGCTAAAAAGCACAGGAAAAATTTCTCAGGAGATGGTTAGCGTGCTAAATTCTAGGTATCCTCAGATAATAATCAGTCTTTGCATTGATAAGACTTCTTAAGTCTTTCATAGATGTTCATTAAAAAAAATGTTCTTAAAGTATACTCTTAGTTTTGCTCTCTCCCTTTTGTATCTGTTCATACAAGTATCCCCCAGTTTCTCTGAAACAATTCCTTTCATCATTTCTTATATAGTGCAATAGTCTTCCATTACATTCATATGCCATAATTTGCTCAGCTGTTCTTCATTTGATGTCTACCCCCTTGATTTCCAGTTTTTATTTTCACCAGAAAAAGAGCTGCTATAAATATTTTTTGTACCTTTGGGTCCTTTTCCTCTTTCTTTGATCACTTGGTTTCTAGGCCTAGTAATTTTTTCCCGAGCCAAAGGTAGGAGGGAGAAAAATATTTTTTAACTGAAAAAAATTAATTAAAAAAGGAAGGTATGGAAAAATACAGAGAAAAGGGGTGATAGTGAGGACTTGAGTAGGAAGAGAAATCTTTATGCAGAAGATATGCAGGTATGAACAGGAACTTAAAGTAGAGTTGCCCTTCCAACAGGTGGCTAGGAGAGGGGAAGGCATTCAATGTGAAGAGAAAATCATGAACAAAGGCAGATGAGTTGAAATGATAATAGTATGTTTATGGGGAAATCAAGAAGCTAGCTTGATAGCTTGACTAGAGAAGAGTGCAAGTTGGGGATTAGTAAAAAATAAGGTTGGATAATAGGATGGGGAACAGATTAAAGAATTCCTTGACAGCCTGACCAGATTTAGATTGGATAAATCAGGCGCACCATAGTGGAAAGAGCACTAAAGCAGAAGCCAGGAGACTTGGGTTTTGCTGTTGCTAAGCTAGCTGGTTACTTTGGGCAAGGTGCTTCACCTTTCGGGGTTGCAGTTTCTTCCTCTCTAAAATGAGAGAAACCTGATGAGATTAGGTGATCTGGAAGTTTCCTCCCTCATCTGAAGTTCTGTTATTCCAAAAAATATGAATTCCCTCCATCTTCCTCATGTAGGGTTTTGAACAATGCAAGTGATGGGATGAAAATGTTTAAGGAAGATTATTTTTGCTGAGTTGTGGAAAATGGATTGGAATGTGGGAAAGGGAAATGATGCAGTTGGGGCAAGGATCATATAAGGGGCCTGTTAATAATAGTCATAATAACAAAACAATACAATAGTTAGCACTTACATAGTACTTTAAGATTTACAAAGTACTTCACATGTATTATCTTTCTTGATCCTTATGATGACCCGGAGAGGTGAGTGCTATTATTATGCCCATTTTCAGGTGAGGAAATTGAGGCTGAGAGATTTAGTGACTTTCCATGGGCCACACAGCTAGAAGTATCTGAGACTGGATTTGAACTCAGATCTCCTTCACTACAAGTGTAATGCTTTATCTACTGTGCCTACTATCTAGCCGCCTATTTAGGAAGTATTGCAAGTGCAAGGTAACAAAGACTTGAACTAGAATGATAGTACAGAGAATGGTAACAGAGGGAGAGAGTGAGATCTTTTTGAAGGAAAGAAATCCCAAATGATTTGGTGACTGGCTAGTCATAACAGATGAGAGAGAAGAGTGAGTCATGGATGCCTCCAAGGGTTATCAAATTTTTTTGAACTTGGACCCTGCCTCTATTGCCGCCTGTCCAAAGTACAGCCACTAAAAGTTGGAGTAGAGGGTCTGAGATGTATAAACATATGTCAGAGCTGAGATGTTGGAATAGGATTCTACCCAGAATTTTAAAAGAACTAAAGTAAATTAGGCTTAGAAAAATTATGCGAAGTCAGTCTGTACTCTACAAGCCAGAATTTGGCATAATTCATTTCACAGACAATCCCCACAGGGTGTCTGTCTCTCTTTTCCAAAATAAATTCTGATCCTTGATTAAGATACACGGTGACTCTATCCTGGCCCTGTGCACAGCTAGCTGACATGGTGATGTAGAACAGAAGAAAATATTTACAAGGATGGGGAGAGGGGTAGAAGCAGAGAGAAGAGGAGCACCAGAAAAATAAAGAATGCCTATCAAATTTTTGCCCTGGGGAAGCAGATGTGCCAGTTTATTACACGGTTACTTTGTTGTAACTTTAGAAGAGTGAAATGCTAGTGGCCTTTGACCATTGCTCACTGTGATGCCAACATTAATACTTTCTCCTCACCTCGACCTTTTAGAATTCCCAGTTTCCCCCAAACCTCAATTCAGGTGCCATCTCCTTGGTCCCCGTAGCTGCTAATACCTCTCCCAGGCCCCAGATTACTTTATTATTGTGCCTAGCAGTGGAATGTAAGCCTCTTAAAAGTAAGTATAACCTCATTCTTGGTCTATGTATTCATTTGAGTGATTTTTAAAAAATTTCTCCTAGTGTCCATCATTTTTGTTTTTCAGTTGTTTTAGTTGTGTCTGACACTTAGTGACCCCATTTGGGGTTTTCTTGGCAAAGATACTGGAGTGGTTTTCCATTTCCTTCTCCAGCTCATTTGGCAGATGAGGAATTGAGGCAAACAGGGTTAAATGACTTGCCTAGGGTCACACAGCTAGTAAGTGTCTGAGGCCAGATTTGAACTCAGGAAAAGGAGTCTTCCTTATTTCAAGCCCACTACTCTGTGCACTGTGATGCCACCTAGCTTCCCTAGTGTCTATCATAGTGCTCTGCATATAATAGAAGCTTAATAACTATTGGAATTTTGACTGGAGAAGAACTCATGTTGAAGCTATACAAGATAATCCAGGAGGTCCTTGTGAGATTGCCAAGGAATGGGGGTTGGTGAGGGAACAGTTCCCTGATTTGCTTTGTCTGTAAGGAATGCATAGAACATTAAAAAATGGGACAGGAAGGGCAGGGTTTGCTATGTACTGGTCTACCCATGTTACTCGGTTAAAGAGCTAGCTCTTGGTGTCCAGAACATTTCTGTTTTCTTTTGGGGACCAGATCTGTGATTTTACTGGTAGGAGGAACACTCCCAGAGAGGAACCCCTTCTACTGAAGGAGAAACACACTTGTTTTGTCAGCAGGACCTCTCCTTCCCAGGCTGCCATCGTGCCACCAACCTTGACCTGCCTAGATTGTTTCCTCTTGCCTTGGGCTTGCCCTGAGCTGATCTGTTTGCCTTTCTTGGTTCTCAAGCCCCAGCAGGCCTTCAAGGCATATAGCTATAGCAGCCTTCACTTTCTGGCACCTGATTACGAAGACAGTAGGCATCAGAGACAGGATTTGAACCCAGGTCTTTATAACTCTGGAGCTGACTCTCTATCTGCCTTGCCAGACTGCCTCTTTTCTTTCTTCTTGATAACATCCAGTTTCTATCAGTATTTTCAGACTCTTTAATTAAGATGCGAGACGTCCCACAACAATTTTCCAGCACTCCAGCTTCTGCCAATACCCTGTAACAAATACTAAGGTCAGAGCAGGTCTTTTAAGGAGGGTCTCTGTCTGCTTGTTAATGAGAAGATTACTGCTTCTCTATGCTAGAGGGGAATTTTCTTGAAGTAAAGACTAAGGAAGTCTGTGTTCTTTAAATCTAAAGGTCCCACATCTCTGAGGCGACAATAATACAAATACTGAATAATAATAGTGTTGTTGTTGTTCAGTCATGTCTGAGTCTTCATGACCCCATTTAGGGTTTTCTTGGCAAAGATGCTGGAGTGGTTTGCCATTTCCTTCTCCAGCTCATTTTACAGATGAGGAAACTGAGGCCAGCAGGGTGATGTGGCTTGCCGAAGGCCACACAGCTAGTAAGCGTTTGAGGCCAGATTTGAACTCAAGAAGATGAGTCTTTCTGACTCCAGGCCAAGCACCTTATCCACTGTGCCACCTCATTGCCCTAGTAATAATAGTAATAGCTGATATTTATGTAGTGCTTCAAGGTTTTAATTCCCAAGCAAACTGTCATACACAGGGCAGTAAATCCAGCCCTGCCTAACTAGCAAGACACCATGAGGGAGAGATAAGAGGCAGCATGTGGAAAACAAGCCAAAACTCCACCTTTCCCTAACCACCATTTCCCTTCAGATCACACTGGGGACCACACAGGACCCTGAACCCAAGAACCTTGAGAATAACAGTGCTTCCAGCCCAGCGCCCTCAGCCATCATCTTGCGAAGCAGCCCCTGTGGAGATGCATCCCAGCCATGGCTCCTGCAGGTGCCAAAGTCACAGCTCCTGAAGACCCCCAAAGAAGATCCTCGCCACCAAAGTCCTTGGCACTGTCAAATGGTTCAACTTCATAAATGGATATGATTTTATAAGTGGAAATGAGATTAGAGAAGAGGCATCACCATCTGCTTTGCTTCTGAACTCTAAGCACCATGGGACTTTTCCATCTGACTTATAACTGAAACCTTCCATCTGTATTGTTTCTGCCTTTCAATGTGAGCTCCTTGACAGTCAGGTCTGTCTTATTTTTCTATTTCTACATCTCCAGTGCTTAGCTCAGTGCTTTGTACATTGTAAGCACTTAATAAATGCCTCATTCATTCATTATTTACCTGGAGATCATAAACTTGTGTTTTCAAACAATTTTTTTTGATAACTATGTGGTTCAGTCATGTCCAACTCTTAGTGACCACATTTGGAGTTTTCTTGGCAAATATGCTGGAGTGGTTTGCCATTTTCTTCTCCAGCTCATTTGGCAGATGAGGAATTGAGGCAAATAGGGTTAAGTGACTTGCCCAGGGTCACACAGCTAGTAAATATCTGAGGCCAGATTTGAACTCAGGTCTTCCTGACTGCAGGCCAGGCATTCTATTCACTGTGCCACCTAGCTTCTGAAGTAACTATATTTCAGTCTAATTGTTTTCCTTTATAAGCCTATGCATTTTATTTGTGCATTTAAAAACATTAGTTTAAGAAGGGGCCCATAGACTTTACAAGACTGTTGAAGTGGTTCATGACATTAAAAATGCCATAAAACTTTAGATTTTTCAGAGTAGAACGACTTTTAAGATTATCTATCACCCTTTGCTTCAGTCTCTATATGTCAATCCCCACTGTACCTTTAACATTTAGCCAAGTTCAGAGAGAAGAGAATCTTTTCTGGTCTTGAAGACCTTCAAAGGCTTTACTCAGTCTTACTGAAATATAAAGGACTTTTTAAACTATGTAGGAGACAAGGGGAAGATCAAAGAAGAATTAGGAACCTTTCTTGGATGTGGGGTTAAGAAGATAATAGTAGGTGGTGGAGAGAAGACAGAACTACTCAATCTCTCTCTCTCTCTCTCTCTCTCTCTCTCTCTCTCTCTCTCTCTCTCTCTCTCTCTCTCTCCTCTCTCTCTCTCTCTCTTTCTCTCTCTCTCTCTCTCTCTCTCTCTCTCTCTCTCTCTCTCTCTCTCTCTTTTTCTCTCTCTCTCCCTCTCTCTCTCCTCTTCCTAATAAATTGATCTACATACAGAGAAGGATAGAGCAAATTGGCTAAAACAGAATGGAACAGAAGATATAGGGGGTGATGGTGGTAGACCACCAGGTTACTCTCCATTGCTTCAAGTGATTAGGTGGGTAGTAATGTGTTGCAGTGGAGAGGTCACTGAATTTGGAATCAGATGATGTGAGTAAAAATTCCAGCTCTGCTACTTACTGATTGTGTGATAGTGGGAAAATCCCTTCTTCTCTCTGTTTCTTCATCCAAAAAATGAGGGGTTGGATTACATGGTCTGTTAGGTTTACTGGGGGCAGATAAATGACATCCCAGAGTAGAGTATTGCCTTGCAAATGTGATTGCTGGTGACCTTTTCAGAACCATGGAGAGTAAGAGTTACCTTGATTTTCACATAAAGAGAAGAATAAAGTCTATAAATTAGAGGCTGGGGGCCTTGATTTGAAACTTACTTGGACTTGGATCTCATTCAGCAGTACTTTTTAAAAAAATAAGTTTTTATTTATGCCTTTTAGTTTTTACATCACCATAATTTCCTCCAGTATCCCTCTTCTTTCCCCTCCCAGAAAGCTACCCCAAATAACAAATTACATTTTTTTTTAAAGCCAGAAAAAGAAAGGGAGGGAAAAAACACCCAGAAAAAATGATCAGTACATTGAAAATGTCCAAAAACGTGTTAAATGTGTGACACCTGTGGACCTCCCACCTCCATGAAGAGGTGGGTTGGGATTGTCCTTTTGTATCTCCTCTTTTGAACCTTACTTGTTCTTTATAATGTCAGCAGTACTTTTTAATTTATTGGGGTTTTTTTTGGCTTTTTGCTAGGCAATTGGAGTTAAGCAACTTGCCCAGGGTCACACAGCTAGTACGCATTGTGTGTTGTGTGTCTGAGACTGGATTTGAACTCAGGCCCTCCTGACTTCAAGGCCGGAGCTCTATCCACTGTGCCACCTAGCTGCCCCTTTTTTAATTTATTGTTGAGTTGTTTTGGCCCTGTCCAATTCTTTGTGACCCCATTTGGAATTTTCTCCAGCTCATTTTCCAGATGAGGAAACTGAGGCAAACAGGGTTAAGTGACCTGCCTGGGGTCACACAGCTAAAAAGTATCTGAGTCTGGATTTGAACTCAGGAAGATGAATCTTTCTGACTCCAGGCCCTGTACTCTATCTACCTGGCTAAAAAATCTGTCCTTGGTGGGTAGAGAGTAGGCTCCATTTCTTCATTCCATTTCTTTAGAGCTCTAATTACTGCTAATGGTAATATTTGTGAAGTCTCTCAGTGGGAGAAAGGCAAATGCCCTGGGAGCCATGCCAAAAATTTCAGAACAAAGACATGGCATCTTTTGTGCAGATATGTTTTACAATCTGTGTCCTATCTACCCTGTTGGAGATAGCATTTTTGAAGAAGGAAGGAAGGAAGGAAGAAGGGAAGGATGCTGTTCTAGGACATACTTATTGTCCTCTATTTCCACCAAAAATCATGTGATTTAACCCAAAACCACTTAGGGAACTATTAAGTCAAACATTTTTTTATTTCCCATTGTGATGCTGGTTATGTAGTAGGGTGGAAAGAACACTGGGTTTAAAGTTGGGGGGATGTTCCAATTCTGGCATTGCGATTTCCTATCTTTGTGATGCTGGGCAAGTAACTTTTGAGTTCTACATTTCAGGAGCATTAATTATTTTGAAAATAAGTGGGGGCAAGCGTGCTATAGTTGGCACCATTTAATTGTTATTTCCATTTTAGAGCACCTGGCTCACAACCAGGAAGACCCCTGCTCCAGGCACTGTGTAACCAAGGTTCTGAGACATTTAGTGATTTGTTCATGATCATAATGGTAGGAAATGAGTGAGGGGGAATTTGAACCCGGATCTTTGGTCTCTAGGTCTTTACAGATGAAACCAATAGCCTGAGACAGTATGTAATTTGTGCATGCTAATAATGCTAGGAAGTGGCTAAGGTGGATTTCAAACTCAGGTCTCATGTTTCTAAGCTCAGTGGTCTACTCCAGGATATCAATAAATATCTACAGAGTGAAAGAATGAATGGTCTGAGAACTAGAAAAATGATACCCATGGCAATGTCTCTGAGTGGAGTAAAAAGACAAATAACTCCCAAACAGTTTCCCAGAGAACAAAGAGACAGCTAAAGATTGTTTGCACAGTTCTCACCCCAGGCATCAGCCTCCAAAGCTGACTTGCTTTAGGTGAGCAGGGTTTTATTAACCCTGAAGGTCCTGGAAGTTTACATGTCTATACATGTGAATACATACACTCTCTTTAATGGGAATTGGGGTGGTCAGGCCCTCTTCTCTGCCATTTCTGTGTTCAATCTCATTTCACTCACTCTGCAGTTCACATGGTAATGACTGCCTTCGGTCTCATAATTTTGGAGTTATCTCTAATGCCCCCTGAGTTCTTTACTGAGTTAGTTTCTTTGGCCTGGCCCTGTGAGGGGCTCAATGCAATGCAGATCCCATTTCCATATAACATTAAACACTACTCAAACCCCACACAGTGCTGCCAAGCAGTGGGGGAAATGAAGCAGGAGTGGGGCCTGGAAAACAGGAGGAGAGCAGAAGGTAGAAGAAATGGGTCAAACAAGAAAAATAAAAGACTTTCTGATGACTGCAGAGAAGGTACAGGCAGACCATGCCTTATTATTCAAAGGCAGAGTAAGGCTGTAAGATGTGTGGAAGGTGGGGCATCTAGGTGGTGCAATGGATAGAGCACCAGCCCTGAAGTCAGGAGGACCTGAGTTAAAACCCAGCCTCAGACCAAACACTTGACACTTACTAGCTGTGTGACCCTGGGCAAGTCACTTAACCCCAATTGCCTTAAAAAAAATGATGTGTGGAAGGCTAGGAGGAATATAGACTAGGTTCATTTAATGCCTTAAGGGAAAACCTTGTAGAAAAGAAGGAAGGAATAAGTACTTGACAGGGAAACAAGATGCTTACCAGTTGTATGAACCTGGGAGGGGGTTTGCCTCTGCCTCAGTTTCCTCCACTGTAAAATGGGGATCATAACAGCACCTGCTTTCCAGGGCTGTTACAAGGATCCAATGAGATTATGTTCGTAACACGATTAGCACCGGCCCATAGTGGGTACTATATAAATGCTTGCTGTTATTGTTATTAATCTATTTGGGCTTCCGTTTTCTCAAGCAGACTTTTAATAAATGCTTGCTGATTGGATTGATTAATTTGAATGATGCCCTTTGGGAACCCTTTTGCCTCCAGATTTAGTATCATCCTTTCAGATATGGGAAACTTAGTTATTATATATAACAAACTTTATGCAACCAAATCTACAAAGTCTAGTGCAGAAGTAGATCCATTGTGAAAGTTCAAAAGCCCTCTATCTTTTTTTTTTCCTTCTGGCCTCTTTGAGATCTCTAGCACTTGTCTGTCATGGGCTGCCCCTGCTCTGGCCCCTGACTCGCACTCCTATCCTGACCTTTTCTAGAAATTTCCATGTCCCAAACTGCTCTGTACCATGCTTGTGCTTCTGAGGGATCACTGACTCATCTCTGCCATCTCCCACAGAGGTGGGAAACCAGTCACATGTGCCCGAGAGAGAATAGCCTTTTTTTTTTTTGAGAATGGTCTTGTTTCACATAAAGTCCATAGCCTTGCCATCCAGCGACAAGATGCTTTTTGCGCTGGTGACTAAGGATTCAGAGGTTCAACCTATCAACTAGAAAGAGGATAAGAGCTTAGCACAACCTGGGTGGGCCAAGTCAGGGTGGTTGCTATAGGATCATAATTGATCCCTCTTTTCTTTCTGTGTCTTAAGAACCATTGTGGCTG